TTTTATTTTAAATACTTTATGAAATGTTAATTATTATTATTTTAATTTCTTCATCTTTTTTTTAGATTTGATCTTTATTATTTTGATTATTATTTATTTTATTTAAGATCATTTATGAAAAAAAATTTTAATTTTATTATTATTCAACTTTTTAATTTGTAAGATTTATTCCTTATTATTTTAATAAACTTGAGAAAAATAAAATATTAATAAATTATTTTTCAGTTTATTTTTCATAATATAACTAAATACTAAAAAGTGTTTTCTAGTTTATTTTTTATAATACTATCAAATATTAAAAAATATTTTACTTTTTAAAAATTTATTTTTTATAAAATTTACTTTTTCTAAAAAATAATTTATCACAAACAAACAGACGTACAAGTGAAGATAAATTCCTCACCCATGTTTGAAAAGGTCTAGTCATGGCTTTTTACGTCGGAAATCCCTCTTTTTACTCAACCCAAAAGTGCGCCACCACCCTCTAGACTCCCACCTCCAAGACCACCACGGATATGAAAGTCAAAGATGGGTTCTAGAAACAAGGTCAATGAGTATCCTTTACAAAACTCCATTTTATACTCTCAACCATGCAGCAAGGAATTAAGTGACTTCTCGTATTGAAGAACTTATGGATTTTGTCACGAGAGGAGGACTCAAAACAATAATAATGAATTTGCAGATGCTGGATTAAACTGTCTGCTGCTAGCTGCTGCTGCTGCTGCTGCTGCTATGAGGGAGGCCATGGATAAAGCAAAGGCTAAAATCCCAGCAAACGAGGGAATTAAAGAGAATATATGTAAAGGTGCTGGACACAAAGAAGTTATAGATAAAGATGCTAGTAGATAGGATTAATTAAAAGAAAGAAGAGATTTGGTCGTAAGAGACAAAAAATTAATTTAGGATTTTTTTAGGGTACTTCATCTTCGTGATCAATAGAAAAACAGCTTTGAAATGAATTTTTGTTTTTTTAAGGTTTTGGAAAAAACAAGAATAAAAAAATTATAAATTATATGTGTGTAAAAAATATAAATATTTTATAAATATAAATATATATTTCAGGTTAAAAACAGTTTTGAAATCAATTTTTATTTTTTTAGGGTTTTGAAAAAAACAAGAATAAACAAATCTAAATTATATGTGTAAAAAATATAAATGTTTTATAAATACAAATATATGTTTCAGGTTAGATTTGACCAGTTAGTTTAATATCAAATTTAATAATATTTATATTTTAGTTTTTATTTATTAATTTATAAAATAATTATTTAATTCAAGATAAGTTAAATGAATATTATTGATTATATTCATCTAAATTTTATTACAAGTTATTTAGAACTCTTAAATTGAATGGTTAAATTATTATTTTTAATTTGAAATTCTTATAAGGATGTTAATTTGGATTTCAAATAGAATTTATTTACTAAAAAATTATCAAAAGAAAATCAATATAGATCCTTTGATTTACTATAATAATTTTTATTGAATTAATATTAAAAATAATATTCTGAAAATATCATTACCGACACAACCTTATTTTCTAGAAAACCCTCGTACAATCTTTTTCCTTGTTTTCTTGCAACCCCTTTATTTCACGGACTAGAATTGGATCTTGAATTGCTCAATCATTACAAAATTGACTATCTGTATTCCTTCCTTTACATTTACATTTCTCTTCTTTTTTTTTTTTTTAATGAACGATGCTTGGTTGCATTTTTATAGCTGAAGTAGGTACTATCTATTATATTATTCTGTGTTTTAAAATAAAACATATTGTTGACTATTAGTTCATCTTTTACTGTTATAAAATTCGTACTTTTTTTCATAGGCAAGGAGAAGGTACAAAATATAGGTAATGGACCCCATCAAGGGAAGAAATTACTGGAGTATCAAATAGTTAATATTGATAATTCAATTCATTTTCATAATTATTCTAAACAATATAATTAAATTTAATTATATATTTTAAAATTTTATTTTAAATATAAAAATTATAATAATTTATCAATCGAGTTCAAATCCTATGTGAAATTCAATTCAATTTCACATGTGATTTAATTAGTTGCAACCAACTTGTTAAAGTATTATACTAGTTTGCTTTTGATAGGAAATAATTTAATAAATCCTATGTGAAATTCAATTCAATTTCACATGTGATTTAATTAGTTGCAACCAACTTGTTAAAGTATTATACTAGTTTGCTTTTGATAGGAAATTAGGTTTTCTACTCAACTTAAGATTAAAATTTAAGATATTTTATAATTTATCAATCACTTGAATGTGAAAAAAGTTTATAAGTTATATATATCATATTTAATAAATTATTAAGAATAAAATTAAATGATACAGTGAAAATATTATGAACACACTCATAAAGCATATGTATAGTAATGGGTACTTATAAATCAGGTTTGACACTATCAAACCTAAATTCAAAATCTCAATTCATATCTGATCCAAAAATTAATTAATATAGGTATCTATATACATGAAACTCTATCTTATTAAATTTTAAATATTTATCAAGTATTTATTGTTTGTCATTATCCTGAAAAGACTAAACAAAATACTGTTGAAATCATTTCTTGAAAGATCATTTAAGAAAATAGAAAACCTTGACAATCACTGACCTAGTTAAAATAACCTTACATGGATCAAGCTTTCATGATGTTGGTTGAACCAGAGATGAAGTTAACCAAAACGCTCATTCATCTACAATACAACTAACACAAGACCTATATTTATGTATTTTTATTGGTTTCTTTCTATTATTATTGTTATGAATAACTCACAAGGGAAAGAAGAAAAATGAAGAAATTATTACCAAAGTAAAAAACCAGAGCATAAGAAAACAACACCCTTATTTAAAGAGCTCGTGACATTATCCTTTAAAGAGTCTTTTAGGTGAGGCAAGTATGGATACCAAATCTAAGTCACCAAATACAAAAGGAGTCCAAGTTGAAAAGATGACCACACAACTAAAGATACCGATGTTTTTTTATAAAATAATGAGCTTGATTATGACTCCCTACATATAGGTGACTCTTTTAAGTTAGA